ATCCTGAAAATGACAACATGTTTAATGCATTAAAGGTGAGAATTGTTAATAAATTAGGAAAGATGTTAGAACATAAAGAATTCTGTCTCTTATTAAATGAGCAACTTATGCTTTGGAGAATTGTCTAAATGTTTATATTATTTCTCACTCGAGGCAACAGAGGAAAGACTTAGGTTTATCCAGCTGTAACTCCAGTCCCTCATGCCTCATATAAATCCTAATATTTTAAGCATTTTATATTTGGCTTTTGTGTATATAGATTTTCTAAAAATTGAACTGTGAAAATGAAATGTTTTAACATTGCACTGTATATCCAGGGACTGTAGAATATAAGCAGTATTTTTAAAGAGTTTACATAAAATAACTTATACTCGGGCATAGGTCTCATGTAGCACACTAAGTTGGCAATCCTGAGTCCCACAGGTACCACTTCAGTCTTCAGAAATTACATCAGGCTGGGGGACCTTTAGATGTTGCTGGACTACAAACCCCCATCCTCCCTGTCTCTTGGACATGCTGGCTGGGGCTCCAGTGCTGGAGTCCGTTGACATCTGAAAGGTTACAGGTGCCCCACCCCTGGTTTCCATAACTGAATGCTGCTGCTCTTCCTCCTCCACAATCCTATACATAAAAAGGGAGCACTACATGGAAGCCCTTTTCCACTATACCTGCACATTTTGTTTCTTAACTTTTTTCGTAGAAGGGATAGAGATGTACCTTGTTTTTAAATTGTGAATATGGGCTGTGCTGACTACGGAGCCTGGTAATTAATACCCCATGTCAGTGGCCTGAAGCAAAAAGTAAGTAAAGCAGCAACAGAGGAGACTCAGTCAGTAGAGTACAAGACTCTTTTTCTTTCTTTCTTTTTTAAATATTTAATATTTTATTATTACCAGCCACCAAAACACAAACAGTGAAACCCCCCAGGGTTAGGTATAATCTACATATTCAATAATCTACATATTCAATAACATTCAATAATAACATATTAAAATCAACCATATGTACACTTCTATATACCTTTACACTCTTCCTTCCACAAGGTTTATTTAACTTTTAACATTTTAATTACCCCAAATTGTTCAAACCTACTCAAATAATTCAATATCTTCTCAAACCAATCCTCCTCTTTCTCACTGACCTTAAACCCTTTCATTTTATGTATCTTCACAGTTAGGTATTCTAAAATTATAATATTATTAATTTTTTTCCTCCATTGGTTCACCCCTAGCTCTTCTGTATTTTTCCAATTACTCACTATAACCTGTTACAGACAGGAGTACAAGACTCTTAATCTCAAGGTTGTGGGTTCAAGCCCCGTGTTTGGCAGGGGGTTGGACTAGATGACTGTCATAATCTGTTCCCACCCGACAATTCTATGATTCTTACCCTTGTATAGTAGGGTGGATTCCAAACAGGCAAAGAGTAGACGTGTTCTCTCTCTCTCTCTCTCTCTCTCTCTCTCTCTCTCACACACACACACACACACACACTTCTCCTTCTTCCATCCAGGCAAGCAAGAGGCAAAGCCATGTTTTTGCTGGGCAGAAGCACTTAAAAGGGGTGTAGGGCTCTGAGGGGTGTGGCATGAGAAGGAAAGGTGTGGCATGGAGGAAGTTCCAATGGCCAGACAGAAAGGCTTTGGAGGGTCATGTTTTGCCTCAGTCCTTAGGTTTTGCACACGTGATATAGGGGCTAAAATGAACATATGAGGAGAGGAGTGTGGATGAGTGTGCTAGCTCTTCCCCTGGTCACTCTGTGTAAGTTCCAGGAGGAAAATCTGCAGCAGAGAAGAGAACTGGGACCAGATATGGTCAAGGGCCAGACAGTGTTTCACTTCTCTGGGAATTAATCAAAACATGCCCCACAAAACGAATTAATCCAAACTCACTTTAAAGGTCTTTAAAAGAACTCCAGTGTTGTACAAAACTAAGTAAAAGCTTTCTTTATAACTTCTAAGGCTAAGGAACACATCTCTATTAGCTTTCATCTTTCGTTGAAGCAGAGTGTAAGGCACATCAAAGGTTATATGCCAAGTATTTTTTTCCTGACATGACCTACACAGAAAGCCACTAATTTGCAGTACTTGAAGGGATCTTAATTCATCAAAATAAATATTGTATTATATCATTAAGATATGGAACATAGGAGAAGATTGCTAAGGAATATTGCTTTTTATGGTGCTTATGAATGGTAAGGCGAGGGGGGTGTTACAAAGATCAAGCAAAAGCTAGTAATTTTGTGTCTCATAAAATGGCAAGCTCGAATAAGTTAGGTATTTAATTCATCTCGGAAGCTTTGAAGATTAAAGTTTCAGCATGGCTTTAATGTTCTTTTAATGATCAGGTTACCTCCCTCCCCCCCACTTTCCAGAAGGTTTATGTCAGTGTACTACTGGCTTGAATGTTTCTTGAGAGTAAAATGCTTGTAAACTACCATATTTTGTCATTGCATGTGCTATGAATGCTGCAACATCAAAGAACTTGGCAATTTCCCATTTTACCAGTGGCCTGGTATTCTATCTGGAATTCTAAAGAGACACCCCAAATAATGAGCATCATATTTCTCAATGAGGCTTCATTTCACAACTACTTTGATAGGTATCAATTTTGCTACACATTGAGAGAGAGAGAGAGAGAGAGAGATGGGCAGATAATGTTGTCATTTGCTTTTGTTATGAGAGTATGCATGCTCTGAACATCTCGGGGAAAAGAGTAAGCCTTTGAAACATATGTAGGAGGATGTTTTCCAGCTTATTGATCCTCATATATATATATATTGCAAGGCCTTAAAAAACAAACAAATTACTGCTTATTCTGCATCCATTGTGTTCCAATTGCTAGTTTTTGAAGCCACGTTCACACGATGTTGGCCACAATCCATAGTGATCTTGTAGTTTCTTGACAAATACTGCTATTGGTTGCACCCCTCTCAAACCAGCTTCAGTCCAGCTAGAAAACTGAAGCCACATTCACTTCATACTTTGGAACAGAGTGAACATTTGAGACGGCCGTCATACATGCTTAAACAAGTGCAGATTTAACACAACATTTCACAGCTTCATGAAGAACAACAATTAGTGGGTGGCAATGTTTAGCTCCTCCTGTTAAGTGGGACTTGTTGGTTGTGTTAAATCAAATGGCAAAGTGCAGGAACAGGCCAGGTGATAATCATGTGTACTTCCAATGACAATATTTGATTTTGACCAGTTTTGCAAATAAGATGTAACTTTTTATTAGGCACATAGAGGAAACACCAAACACACTCAGCACTCTTTAAATATTACCTGGTGTGAAAGTTTCTCGTCAATACTTACCCTCCAAGGTCAACTTTTCAACTGTTTCTGGGATCTGCCTACTCTAAATTTAGGAAATGCCTCATCCTCTGAACTTCTTCAAAAGCTCCTTATTTCTCTGGTCCTGTTCTTTATCACCCTATTCCCTCGTGTTCTACAACTCATTTAGTCCTCTGTTGTTTCTTCATTGCTTGCACATTTCTCTTGTATTGGAACCAGAAAAAGGACTCCTTGCTTTTGTCAGTTTGATTAAAATGCCCTCTGGCCTTATGGGATAGACAGATGTCTCTGTGGCTCAGTACTTCAACCAAACTTTTGCTTTGGTGCAGTCCATGTCCAGTCTTAAATATAGGTTTGGTTCTGGCTTGGGTTAAAATCGTCCTCTGTGCTGGATATTTTGGATAGTTGGCGCTTGTAAAAGTTCACTGGATGCTGCGAGTCAATTTTTTAAATGAGTTTTCTTGGGTATAAGCATTTTTGGGGATGCAAAGCCCTGCGCCCTAAAGCAAGGGTGGGCAGGAAGTAAATCAGGTCTCTGGGTGATATGAAATCAGTAAGGATTTATCATTACCGGTGTTTAACAATGGTAGCAGCAGAATGATTCTCCTCCCCTAAATTATATACCTTCCTGAAATAAAGAAAGCTGGAAGATGGTAACAATAAGTAGATTTTTGTGTGGAAGGCCTGTTGACTCTTGTTTAGTTCTGGCACTTGAATAATAATAAAAAATCTTTGGCTCAGAATTCTTTAATTCTAAGTCTATGTCTTTTGCATTGGGCTCCAGCTGGTGGATCTACAGGTTCTAGTGAAAAACAAAGCAGATCCTGCAAGCCTGAAATTTGTCCACTCCTGCACTGGCCACTGTTCCATAAAAGGTAAAGGTAAAGGGACCCCGTGACCGACTCTGGGGTTGCGGCGCTCATCTCGCTTTATTGGCCGAGGGAGCCAGCGTACAGCTTCCGGGTCATGTGGCCAGCATGACTAAGCCGCTTCTGGCGAACCAGAGCAGCACACGGAAATGCCGTTTACCTTCCTGCTGGAGCGGTACCTATTTATCTACTTGCACTTTGACGTGCTTTCAAACTGCTAGGTTGGCAGGAGCAGGGACTGAGCAACGGGAGCTCACCCCGTCACAGGGATTCGAACTGCCAACCTTCTGATTAGCAAGTCCTAGGCTCTGTGGTTTAACCCACAGCGCCACCCGCGTCCCTCCACTCCACATTAACCTAATTCAATGCTTCCATAAGTGCACTGTTTCAGGCTTCACAGATATCTTGAAACGACATACACTTATGTAGTAGCTGCAAGTAGTTGAAATAAAGGTAGGAATTTCCTACTAGGAAACAATACTTTCTAAGATATACCAAGATGGATCAAAGTGATATTTCTTTTATTTGGTGACTGCCTATTTGCCTGTCTGTCATAAGCTATTTCCTTTTTGTTTATGCTGCTACTCTGTTAATTATTTTCTATAAATGTGTATGAAAGACACAGAACATAATACTGTATCTCAGCAAGAATTCTGAGGGTTAGAACTTTCTGGAGCAGGAGAGCAGCTCTCTGGTACTTAATCATGGTATGAAATATTCAGGGCACAAAGCCTATGCAAAACCACAGAGCTGATTTTGGTCTGAATTTGAACTCTTGCTAATATTTCCATTTATGGAGTTCGTTTACTTCAGCATGGATATTGCATTACTTTGTGGCTGTTAGAGATGAGAGAAAATTTTTATGATAATCCAATCAAGTTAGGAGTCTCATTTTGTACCCCCCAAATAACTCCTTAAGTGCTAGGTTTATATGCAGTTTTCCAGCTGGGAGACTACTTAAAAATATCAGATTCTCAGTAGTGACTTTGTTAGATTCACTGAAGCTGTATTTTGTACTGCTTGACCTTCTATCCTTATACACTGTTATTTCAAAAGGGCTAACCTCTAACTTCTCCACTATTAGCTGCTAAAAAACCTTTTTTTAAAAAAAAGAAAGTTAAATGAACAAGAATCTGCCTCATATGCTATCCTACTCATTGAACAGAGTGATGCAATCAAATCACTTTCTAACTGAAGATTAGTGATGATTTCTGGATGCAAAGACCTGGTTTTGCTAGAACTGTGTGGCTGCCACCAAAAGCCACAGTCTTGTGTCTCTTCTTCTTATCTCCTCATAATATGCATTCAAACAAAGGATGTAATATGACATCAGATCTGACGTATTTTGTTCTACCACATCTTTCCAATGAAAGAGAAGGACAGGAGGTGTGGGGTGAAGCTTTTGGACACAACCATGAATCTTTTATCGTCTCACAGAGTTGGAGAAGGCCTTGTAGCTCATCTAAATCCAACCCTTTGCTTGAAAAAGGATATCCATAGCTAGAACACCCATTTTGCATGCCCTTGTAATAAATATCACTGCATGAAATCACCTTCAACTTATCGGATATGCAAAAGCTATCCTCACTTAGATTAGCTTGGCACAGTGCATTAAGAAAGCTGGGGGTTTGGAGGCAGTACTGTCTCAGCTCTTCATTCCCACTGAGAGCTGAATGTTGAATAAGAAATGTCAGGCCTTGACCCCTTGCCCTCTCATCCTCCATTCCCAGTCTCCTTCGACCCCTTCAATTATGCTTTCTGTTGCTCTCCAACTAATGGAGGGAAACCATTGCAGAAATGGAAGCACTCTTAACTAATGAAGGTACCCCACACCTTTTAGTTGAACCCTGTTTTCCCAAGGTCTAGGAGGCTCCTGGCTTCAGAAAGTTGCCTTCGCTGAGAGGGAGGATGAAGAAATGATGATGAGTGGGAGGGAGGGAGCACATCCATTCCCACTTCTTGCCCCTCACTTGTTTGCTGAACACTGAAAGGTAATCCTGAACACAGCTATTATCTATAATCATTTCGGATTTTTCTCAGTTTCATATTAGACTGTGCATGGTTTGCTTCATGAACTTCTTTACTGGAAAGAAAGTAAACAAACATAGTGGTGTTTTAGATCATAATTAGATCATAATCTTCCGCCCCATTTGTGCTTTTAAGCATGCCGAGTCATGCCTTTGTTTTTCTAGTTGTGCAGACTGTCAAAGATAGCCATGAAATGACCTGTAAAAGTCTAGGTCTTGCCTCTTATTTCTTTGTTTTTATAGGAAATAGTCTTCCTGGACCACCAATGGGCAGATGTTATCAAGGAATTCAGCTGTATAGATCCCAGACACAAATGAATATCCGCCGGAGGTTCTTCTGGACATCTGGAATGGTTTATGCTATAGCAATGTGTTAGTCCAGTGGGATCTATGTGCGCTCTCACGCGTGTTGACCTTTGACCTTTCAACTCCGTGTAAATGCTGCTCGGGCTTCCTAAATATTTTGCAGCAATTACAACAGAGTATCATGTCTCGCTGTCATTACCACTTCATGGATGTGTCATCAGCTTCTTGGGGTCTGTGTTTTGTAGTTCTCCCCCTACAGAGCTTGCCGTCTTGGCTAGACTTCATCAGATTTCATGCTCTAATCTGAGATGCCATTTCAGGCTGGGGGGGCAAAGAAATTTTGGTTGAGGCTACAGGCAAACAACAAACAAACAAAAAAACAAAAAAAACTGATTACATAAAACAGTTTAAGACCATGTTTTGTGATTCTTTCATCATAACTAGCATTGTGTGTTCCCGAAGAAATGACTAATTAGATGCTGCTTGAATATACAGAAGATGGCTGTCCTCTGCCTTTGCTGAATGCTGTGTTCCAGACCATCATAGGTGTGTGTAAAACAATAAGGAATTTGTGAAGTATGCAATCAGAATGCTATTAAGTTTCCAGTTGAAGTGACACTGATTAGTAATTTTGGTCTCCAGGTTCATACTACATCTACTTGTGCAATTAAGGAAAGCAAGAAGTTGATCGCGTGTTGTGCCATAATTTTTCCATCCCGGAGGGAGGAAATAATAACATGCATGTAGCAGTAAAGAATGGTTCCACTTGTTTTGCCAAATATTATTTACAAGATACCAACAGAAAAACTGTAGTGCTGCCATAGCAAATGGCTTCCGGGGTTCTGTTTCTTGAAAGAAAAGAAAAGAAGCCAAATTATCCAGATGTAGCCTGCATTTTCCTAACCATTGCCTTTGCCCACTTGGTAGAAAAACCCATTTCAGATCTTGGACAGCAACTTTTTATGAGTCAGTGCTTGCTGTTGGAACAGAATACTGCACCCATTTGCCCAGGTAGGGATGGTGTGGGTTACGAATGGGGTTAGCTGATGAAGACAGTTATAACACAACTTCATTGCTACTGGGCTACGTTCAGACAGCTGAAATGGCATTTTATTTTCAGCTGCTAGCATGATGTGTCTTTCCAGCTGTTCTTTTTTTCAGGCCTGCTGACGCTGCGCCCTAGAATTAAAGAAAACATGTCCATACATCTCTCAGATGGAAGACCATGAGCTCCGGCCTGTCTTCTCACAGTTACTGCAGCTGGGAGGTTTGGCTTTGGATCTTCTCAACTCCCAAAAAATGAGTAGACACGGATTAGGAGACACAGCATTTTTTATTAGGTTTTTCTTAAGGCATTTGGAAGCTGTCCTCTAAATCAGTATCTTCCTCATTGACTATAAACTGTCAAGTGGTCTTTTTCTGTGGCATAAATTCTCATTTGGTGTAAGTCAGCACACCATGTGGAGTGTGTGAATTTAGCTTGGATGAGTTGCTGGACGTGTTGAATGAATACAGTGGTGCCTCGCAAGACGAAATTAATCCGTTCCGCGAGAGTCTTCGTCTAGCGGTTTTTTCGTCTTGCGAAGCAAGCCCATTGACGGATTAGCGCTATTAGCGCTATTAGCGGTTTAGCGGCTATTAAAGGCTTAAAGGCTTAGGGGATTAGCTGCTAAAAGGCTATTAAAGGCTATTAAAGGCTTAGCAGATTAGATAAAGGGGGGGGGAAGCGAAAAAAAAAATCTCAAGACTCGCAAGGTATTTTCGTCTTGCGAAGCAAGCCCATAGGGGAATTCGTCCTGCGAAGCAACTTCAAAACGGAAAACCCTTTCGTCTAGAGGTTTTTCCGTCTTGCGAGGCATTCGTCTTGCGGGGCACCACTGTACACTGAGTTCCCATTCAGTCATGAGGTTCACTGGGTGACCAGCCCAACCTACCTCACAGGGTTGTTGTGATGATAAAATGGGGGTGGGGAGAGAACCATGTATGCCACCTTGACCTCTCTGGAGGAAAGATGCCATTGTCATGTGTGCCCAGCCTATGACTTCTTTGGGACTGCAATGGCGGTCCAGAATTTCAGCCATTTGTTCGAACACTCCATTGCTTCCTGACCACTCAGTCCTAAGGCATGTATATTCCGAAGTGAGGCCCATTGTATACAACAAGGCTTACTCCTCATTGCAGTCTAAACCTGCTTACTCTCCCTGCACCCAACTTCTTTTTCTGTTTGAAGATGACCTCCTTGGAACTTGCACATTCTTGCTCCAGGAAAAGGTACCGCCTCGCCTGCTTTGCCTCTCCCATCTCAGGCAGCTACGCTATCTTTGCTGTATCAGTGTTGTAATAAGGTGAAAAGCTTCCCATGTCAATTCTGGAGGTGCAAAGCACAGAAACATCCCATGGCATTAAGAGGAATTTGGCCCTCCCAACATAAATCAGGCAGAAGAATCTTATGGACTTCTGGATAACATAGTGCACCATCGTTTTGGATTATCTCAGGGGAAACCCCCTTTTAACGAAAATTAAAATATGTTGATTCTGATGTAAATTTTGTTTCTCCCAGCAGAGAGGAATATTCACATGAAAAATGTTGTGCTGTCAATACGAAAGCATATTGCTTCTGCAAGAAGCATCTAGGAGCAGAAGTGAGTTTAGTGTCAGGCTGACAACTCTTTCTTAGAAGATCTTCTCTGCAAATTTGTCCCTGAAATAAAAACCTGCATGTAAGATGTAGAAACGTGGCTGCATAATGCTCTGATTTAATAAACCTTATTGGTTAAATACTCATAAACGTGCCTTGAGATTATTCTATACCAGAGCCTGCAATCTGCTGCCCTCCAGATGTTGTGGACCCTGCTGGCTGGGGTTGTAGTCTACAACAAGTGGAAGGCACTACTTTACCTCTTTACCTATCTAGTAAAGATAGATCTGCCCTACCAGTGTTTCTTATATCGTTTGGATTGTGCGCCCTAGTTCAAGCTGCCAAGGCTGGCAATTTCTTGATGGAAAGGCCACTGGACTTTGTTCCATGAAACAAATGAAAGTCATGCAGAATTTGGGTTTTGACATTCCTTGAAGCACAACTGTGGCAAATGGCAGCAGTCAAATATCTGTATAGCCAACAATAAGTTGAGATCTGCTGTGCTTCACATGCATATTTGACTACTTTAGCTCTGAGTATCTGCTCAAAGAGGTCTGGTCCAACCCTGGCGGGCTGACAAGGAAAGCCTGATGTTCAGCATAAACAAAGAGTGTCATGGTGGTAGGGAGATCGATTGCACACGTGCTCCAGCTGTTTTAAAGGATTATGCCGCACTCTCTAAGCAACACTATTTTCAAGTGCAAACAGCACTGTTTATTCCATTTTTTCCTGGTGCATTGGCAAAGTTCCCAGGAATGCTAATGGGAGTTACGTGCACTCAGAGGACAAGGATTTAGCTTGGGATGGATCATTAGAACTCTCTTCCATAGTAAATCTCTTGTAACACCTTCTTAGGCTTCTCTCCCAGCGTATTATTTATATGAGCTCTCTTTTTAATTATAAGGAGAAGTGCTGCCTTTGTACCACATATCTATAACCAAGCAACTAAACAGGAAACTAAACACAAGTATCTGGACCCAAAACAAAGGCTAGAGTCCGTTGGTTTCCTTCCCCAGCTTAAACTGGGGCTTTCCATAATATTCCATTGCTAAGTGCCAAGTTATAGATATTAGCACCTGGGCCTAGCAATTATAGGTATCTCTACAGCTAAAGACACGGGTGACGCTGTGGGGACGTGGGTGGCACTGTAGGTTAAACCACTGAGCCTAGGGCTTGCTGATCAGAAGGTCGGCAGTTCAAATCTCTGCGATGGGGTGAGCTTCCATTGCTCGGTCCCTGCTCCTGCCCACCTAGCAGTTCGAAAGCACGTCAAAGTGCAAGTAGATAAATAGGTACCGCTCCGGCAGGAAGGTAAACGGCATTTCCATGCGCTGCTCTGGTTCGCCAGAAGCGGCTTAGTCATGCTGGCCACATGACCCGGAAGCTGTACGCCGGCTCCCTCGGCCAATAAAGTGAGATGAGCGCCGCAACCCCAGAGTCGGTCGCGACTGGACCTAACGGTCAGGGGTCCCTTTACCTTACAGCTAAAGAAACAGATGTAATACAATTCTAAAATTCTCTAGCAATTAAGGTGCTTGCAAATTCACTCCTGCACCCAAAAACATAGAAATAGCAAGTTAAAATGCCGGATTTAATTTCCTTCCTGCAGTATAAGTAGGATACTTCTTCTCACGTCATATTGTGATTGCTTAATTACAACTTAACCTCCATATAGCCACACTTTCCTTTGGTTTCGCAGCCTCTTCACCCTATGCTATTTCCCCAATCGAAATCACCTTTAAAAGGTGCTTATTTATCTATACTGGTTTTTTTGTTAAGGAATCCATATAGTGTTGTTCAAAGCAAAGGTTTTTTCTTCTCCTATACTACTTGGAACCTTTCCCTTATGGAGAAAATAGCTTCTGGTGGGGTTTTTTTTTACTGCAAAAATAACAGCAGGGAGTGGATTATAAAACCCTACCCAGCACCTTAGTTCAAATCCAATGGATTCCTCTTCTAACTTTTTAAAGAAATAATGCAGGGAGCCTTCAGAAGTAGATAAGCTCCCCACTTTAGGAGACTGCCTTTCAATTTGTAACAAGTTGTGTGGAAAAGTGTGATGATCCAGTGATCCGATTATCTCAATGTCTTGTTTCACACATATTGGGTTAGTAGGGTACAGCCATCATGAGTAGGAGCCAGCTGCAGTAGTGGCACCTGCCCTGTGGAACGCCCTCCCATCAGATGACTTTTAGAAGACATCTGAAGGCAGCCCTGTTTAGGAAAGTTTTTAATGTTCGGTGTTTTACCAAGTTTTTAATATTCTGTTGGGAGCCGCCCAGAGTGGCTGGGGAAACCCAACCAGATAGGCAGGGTATAAATAATAAATTATTATTATTTATTATAATCGGTCGCACTACCATAAAACCGCCTCTGAGCAGAGAAAATAAAAAATGTGCATCTCTTCCAAGCAAAGCTGCTTTCTAAACTACAAGAACTTCAGGCTTGCTGGGAAGGAGAAGTCTTCCCAACTTCACACATTAGATAGGCCTGAGACAATATAGGCATACATTCTGAAATAAGCACTTGAATGCATTTCTGCATACTGAGAGGGTTGAGAGGCAAGCTTTTAGGTGGGTATAAAAATCTATTGCCTGGATTTGTTTAAGATTAGAAATCTTGTGGCATTTCTCTTACCAGGTTCCTGAAGACAAAAATGAATTGTGCATAAGGAAACAGATGTTCAGCCGGGGAAAGCCAGTTTTGAAGCCAGTGTGTTGCTATGTTAATTTATATTAATGGAAAACATGATCCAGGAATGATGCAAAATGACAGGAATGTTCCAATTGGAAAACAGAGACAACGTAAAGACTTCCAGGACCTCATGTTACATATACAAAAGCAGGGACAGGGACTAATTTAGCCTTCTCACAGCAGGACACCGAGGCCCAACTTTAGGAAAGCCCACATTTACTTGTGTGTATGTTTATATGGGCATCCTTTATTTTATACCACCTTTCATAAATTAGCAGCATGGTGAATTACAATAAAAATATCAAAATGCAATAAAAGGAAAAAAGACCTAGAAAAAAACAAACACAACAACCCCAAAAATCATATTCTGATGAAATATTGAAAGTGCTAAATCAGTGCCTAACTGCAGTAACTGGTGGGCTGGAGGCAAATAAAATGAACCTCAATTTTTAAAAAAGAAAGAAGGTGGTACTATGGGACGTTGGTTTGTTTTCCCCAAGGAGTGTGTTCATCCTCTATCAGAAGGTGCCACAGTTTCCCTAAAGCAACAGGTTGGCCCTTGAAGGTGCTCCATGATCCATCTTTGACACCGGAGGCACATTTTGCTTTTGTGATATGGAATACCCTTTAACAGTCTATGCTGGTGTGCCATCTGCAATACTCCCTGGGCAGAGACTTCCATCCCTCAGTGATCCATGCTCTGATAACCTCCAGGTTAGATTGTGCCAGGAGCGAGCGAGCCAGCAGTGAATCACACAACGAAAGTGGAGTTAACTCTTTATTAGAAAAAAAAGAAAATAGGATCTGCACAGGAGTGTCATGCCTAACAAACACAGCAACTCTTCTTCAGTAGCTCTTGCCCCTATGAAGCAGTTGTGGAGACTGAAGGTCCTCACCTCCTCACAGCTTTCTAAGTCCCCTCCTCTTCAGGGTTTGCCCCCAAGCAATCTGAGACTACACCTGCATGTCAGTCTTTGCTCCCCCAGCTTCATGTCTCTTCTGGTTCTGGGAGACCAGCAGGGAGGGGAGCTTGTCACAGCAGGAGGGGGCGACACCTGTGCCTCTTCACCAGCCGGACTCATCTCTGCCTTTTAGCATCCCTCCTCTTCTGCTTCGGCTTCTGCCTCTGATCTGGACTGCTCTCTGCCACAGACTCTTCCTGCTCATCAAACCCTGTTACCGCTTCAGCTTCCAACACCTCCTCCACCTCCCAGTTTGCTCCCTCATCTCCCTCTGACCACTCGTCGTTGTTCCACCACCAGTGCCCTGGCTCTGAGCCTTCTTCCCTTGGGGGTTCCCCAGATGGTTCCTCTCACCATTACTCTGCACCCATCCAGTCCATGACAGATTGCTATAATTCACTCTATGTGTGGCTGTCTTTGAAGCTGGTACAATAAACTGTAGTTCAGAACATGATAGCTAGATTACTGCCCGGGTGCTATTATCATATTATACCAGTTGCACTGGTTTTGAGTTCATTTCTGAGCCCAATGCAAAACCCTTTATGGCTCTGGACCAAGATACTTGTATTGCTGCTTGTATGTACCTTCCCACTCATTAATATCTTCAGTAGAGGGATGTAAAATATTCCTGTCTCAGATTCTGTAGAGCCACTGTTTATAATGCTAAGTGAGATGGACCAGTGGTTTGACTCAGTATAAGGCAGTTTTCTGTGTTCTAATAGACATATGCACTTCCCCCATCACTTTGTCCATATACACTCCTGGTGCATATGTGTCTCTTTCAAAGGAGATTGCATATATTTGAGTGACTTTCTCTAGAATCTCATTCGCATCCCAATCAAAGGACTCAGCAGCATATAGCACTTTCTGCAACCACATCACAGAGGTTCCACCAGCCTGGATGTCAGTGCATCAGTGGTGGTTCTGGCAGGTATTAAACATATTGGCAGCGATGGCAGAACCAGGTCCAAATCTAAACCATGGGAATGAAGTTAGCAATGGCAATGCTGATTTTGTGCTGATGTGAACCATCTGACTTGCCACAGTGCTACAACAGTTGCTCTCTGAAATTAAAGCATGTTTGAGTGGATCAGATCTGATTATTGTGTGAAACAACCACAGCATTGCTTGCATGCCTGCTGCTAGCTGTTTTGGCAGTCTGTTCCTGCAGAAGGTTGATCACACAAAATATGGTTTCAGCTGCTCTGAACTATTTGGCATGGTGTCATTACTTTTCAGGAGACAATTCAGCCTGAGAATTCTGTGCTACAATTGTGTAGAAAGGGTAGTGTAAAAACAAACAAACACTGTCAATAGCCTTCCTTCCAACCCCCTTGCCCTCAAATAAACCCAACTCTTCTGCCTTCTCACCTTCTGCCTCCCCCCGCCCATAACAAATGCCCTAATTGAAAAATCACTGTATGCATTGTGAATGACTGTTAGCTCCTAACTCTAATAGTCATCTTCACAACAGTCTTTGACATCCTCCTACCTTAGAATGACTTCAAGGGATTCACAGCATCTGAAACCACCCCACCAAAAAAAACCCCAAATCCCCAAACATAAACATGTTGTTGGACCAGAAAGTCTATTTCTGATTCTTGTTCCTTTTTGGCCATGGGCCAGTTTCCATATTAACTGCCTTTGTGTAAAATAAGCATGCTCAACGAAAGGATTGCAACGGCCTCGGACCACAATAAATTGCCTTTGGCTCATCTCGTATTTCAACATTATTCCCTGAAAATGCCTCTGGTGTTAGGGAACTATCTTCCTGGGACTGTGTGAAGCACTCATTAGCTGTCTCTGGAGCAGTCTGAGCTCAGTGGGGAAACAGAAGAGGGGAGAGTTGCTGATTGGTTCTAACTCTTCTCAGTTGGCAAGTTGTCTACTTCTAAGCTATTCATAATGTGGGCATACCCAATTAGCTGGCCTGCACTGGGTGTACTTTTCCCCTTCAGAATCCTGAAGAAACTAGCAACTACCTTGGAGCTATCGTTTCAGCCATGGACTTCTGGGCATCAGCTTCCTGGTCTTTATTTCTTGCATGTTGCAGTGAAGAGAGGGAATAATAAAATCACAGAACTGTAGAATCTGAAGAAATCTTGAGGGTCATCAAGTCCAACTACCTTTAATGCAGGAATCTTTTGCCCAATATGCCCTAAGATTAAGAATCTCATGATCTACTGACTGATCAAGTTGTAAGTTGTCAAGATGTAAGTAAGTATACAATTCAGGAACAAAACAAGCTCTAAAGATGCCCAGCCAATCCAACAATCAGGGGAAATGGTACAGAAGGACCACAAGCTCAATGTTGTCTACAGCACTCTGGTATCCTCCAAATGTTCTTGGATTACAGCTCCCATCATTCCTCATGATCTGGATCTGGAGTTCAACAACATATGGGTGAAGCTGGTCCAAGCAGCGACTATCCATGATTCTGGATAAGTGTTTCTCCCAGACCTACGCATGCACTGATCTGCATCCCTTCATGATCTGGCCAATACCTAAGCAAGCTCTTGAAAAACTTGTTCCATTTAGTATTGTATTGTCTTTAGCTTCCATATTTCATTGCCGTCACATTGAATAGGAACCAAACCAATGTGCTAGAAAGCAAATTTAGCATCTGAGTATTCAAATGAGTTCCAGCAGTTTATACCTGGTGAGGGTCTGACTCAGCTTCCTCCTGAGCTCCTTTCTTTGTGCAAGCATTTCAGATGCTGTACGCAGGCATGCTTCTTCTCTCACAGACATGGTGACATAGGTTTCCATTCCAAAGCTTAGTGGAAACTGTGTGAGCAGATGGAAAAAAACAATAATGGCCCAATGTCTGTTGCTGTGGGAACACCAAAAATATCAAAGGGTTACAGTGAAGAAGGCTGACATCTTGAGCTGGCCACATAGTGAGCTCTGGTCTTGGAAAACAAAGTAACTAAGAAGCTAAATATGAATGACTAATTACCACTTTCATTCACTTGCTAGTCTCTTAATTCACTCTGACCTTTTCCATATAAATTGCTGCTCTCATCAACTTCTGGCAGACTTTTGACCTGCAGTCTGCATACTTACAGTTACCCCTCTGTTTATAAGCAAGACAACATACACTATGCTGCCTTCACTTTTATTTTGTCTTTCTCTGGTGTGTTTTCTATGAAATAGTGCCCTTTCCCAGAAAATAAAGTCGGAAACTTGGAACAGGAACCTGATAAACACAGGCACACTTAAGAGCATTGTGTCATTTTAGCTTGCAATGACATTAGAAAATGTGGAATTCCTTGGCACGGGTGATTTTTAAAAATAAAAAATGCCGCTTTTTATAATACATTTAATTACTATACATCCAGCCCTTCAATTTTCCTGCACAAGTGATATCTGACATACACATAGCACAGAGTCAATAGTTTATTTACAATAGGGTTGCTGCTGTTGAAGATTCCCCCATCAAATAAAAAACAACAACAGGATTTTGGCAGGGAGGGATCCTTCTGAATTTGCCCTCTTGAATTCTGTTGCTCTCTTGAATACATCACAATCGCCTGGAGCACTGTGATGTATTCACTCGCTGACTCTTGCGCTTGTTGTTCTCTGTGCGCAAAGTCATAGTGGCAGTGGTTCTTAGTTGGCTGGGGTGCAAGGTGTCTTGTCATAGCCAGTGTCAGCTCATTGAAAGTGCATGCCTCTATGTCCCTGGGTGCCACCAGACCTTCCAGTAGAGTGATGGCGGAACTTCCCAGCACCATCAGTAGCACTTCCACCTTGTCTGCCTCCCTAGTGAAGCCTTGTAGTCGGACATAGCTCCTTATTCGGCGGAGCCACTGCGGCAATTCTGCAGGATAGCTCATAGTGAAGTCTGGTGGCGGCTGACTATGACTGGTGGCCATCCTCAGACCTGGAGCAGTCACTTGTGCGATTGTGGGTGGTTGCGAAGACGCGGCAGGCGCGGTTTATTTTCCAGGACTATTTGCTGAGTCCAGTGGGGCAGTGAGGTCGCGCTTACTGCAAGGTGGCAGGCGGCAGTGCTGAGGTGCGGTCTTGGGCCTCTGGCAGCCGGCAGGAGCTCATACATCCCATCCTCATCACCAATGTTAAATGTTTGGAAAAAGTCAGAAGCCCAAGGCAGTACAAGTTCCTCAACTACGTTTATTCAACATTGTCAGTGACAATGGCTCACTCATAGGAAAACAAAACCCGAACTCACAGGACTACACAATAAAAGCCCCAACATGAACTGACCGTTGACAGTTGACAGTTGACAGTTGACAGTTGACAGTTGAAAGTGCGTGCGCTTACTTGCTATTAGAACATTCGTCTATCAACACTTATACGATTGGTTAGAACGCACCTCGTAACATAAAAAGTGTTAAACCCAATACATAACAGTGATGGTAAGGGAATCATATGTGCCAGGAATTGCCAACCTTTTTGAGCCAGAGGAGTATTGAAAAAGTTCTAGTTTTTAGTTACAAATGACTGCCATGGGCACCAGGCCAGACAGATCACAAAATGGCTGCCATGGGGGAACTGAATAGCACAAAATGGCTGATGTGGAGCATGTGGCATGAGAGAAAATGGTTGCCATGGGATAATGGGTCTACAAGAGCAGAAAAGGATACCTCACCAACCCTTAACCCCACATCAGCCGCCCCATCAATGTCGGCGGCGGGGTGGGGGTGGGGAGGTACCTGCATCAGCCACCACTGTGCAGGCCCACAGAGATAAGCTCTTTGTTCAGAACAGATGGAGGGTGAGCATTCAATCCTGGCATCCAATGAAACATAGACATGTTAATCAGAAGCGTTCGACGTAAGAGCAACTGAGGCAGTGCAGACAAGAACTGAGCAGGAAAAGCGAACAGTCTCTTGTGTGCTGTGGAATTCTGAGGAAACAGTTACTGAAACCTTTTGTGGGTGCCACTGGAGATACCGGTAGGCCCAGCTGTGCTTATAAACCTAGATAATAAATAATGCTTAAATGAAGAGACTTTTTTTTTTAAAAAAAGCTGGCAGGGAGCCTTTTTTGAATAATTTACAGTGTACAGCAGGAGGCAACGGAGCAAAAAACAAACAAATCCTTTAACTGTTAGTTTGGCTTGCACCCTGGAGGCTTGTGTCAACAATTAGAGCTGGGCACCAAAATAGTAAAAATATGTCTGGGCTGTTCTGTTTGTGCTGGGGGCTCACACAATTGTATGCTCCTCCATACAAAAAGGTATTTCAACACCAACAAGTTATGTACATTTCTGTTCACTGCTTCTTACAAAGGTTGTTACAGAGCTGGGAAAGAAGCATAAAAGGCATCTCTGGGTGGCATATAATCAATCAGTATGTGTAAATTAAGATGGATGTATTGGTGTTTATTGTACTTATGGTCCCTTGCTAAGGACCACTCCGCCTCTACCAGTCCAAAATCAGAAAGTATATCAAATTGCATTGCCTATATGCCTACCATAGTTTGGTCTGAGATTGAAATGAACCCAAATAATTCAGCATGTACATACGCATTCCCATCACTGTCAACCACAGATCTCATACCAAGAGACAGTCCTATGCTAGGAATGCATGCTGCTTCATCTGCTAAAACTGAGAGTCTCCCTCAAAATTTGGCCACACAAATTTATTAACTCATTCTGTGCCTTCTTGCAGATGTGTGCTTAGTATTTCCTGCCTGTTTTCAAATGTTTTTTGAGTATTCTATCCTGTTCCTCAACAAGAACTCAAAAGGTCTATCCTGTTACCTGTTGTACTGGTTTTCCAAGAAAGAGCAAAGGCAAGTCATCCACAATACACAATGGTTGATATTATCTAGAATACAGCTTCTGTTTATTTCCCTCAATAGCTCTTGCATTTGATTTATTAAGCCAAATGACACCTTTTTCCTGTTCATGATAGAAAGGAAGATAAAAGCATCTTCATGTGAAACCTTATGCCATCTACTTTGTGAGTGCTCTTTGTACTTGGTACAGACTTTGGTATTAAATGTGTCCTGTACCCCTTGTGGGGAAATAAAATGCAATAGCAGCATACAGGTGCTTTCAAAACAACAGCAAAGGCTAACCAAGGGGAACATTCAGAAAGCAATGCATGGCAAAATGCTCTTGGACCTCTCCTATCATGCCTAAAGTCATAGCCACCTAAAGGGGTCCAGCACTGTGTGTGCAGCTCAGTTTTTAACAATTCTAATAGGGGATTTGCTTTCAATATGTATTTCCTTCCATCCAGCTTTTCCTGCTGTTCAGGTTGCACTGTACTGGCTTCCACCTTAGTATTTTCAGTTGGGATGTTCTCTGTCCCTGGATATTTTCTGGTAGGAATTTTTCCACTTGGCAAATTGGCATGGGCCATTTGGTTTTCGCCTACCTTGTAGCAATAGTCACAGCTTTGTCAGGTTTGGTGGTTAGGCATTGGTTGATCTTCTGATGGGGGAGGGGAGGCGTGGCCATCACCTGCCCCTCCAAGCTTAAGGGTATTCTGTTAAAGGAATCCCGGGGTGTGGATCTTGTCCGAAGTCTGGGGCTGGGCTAGGGCCATGCCATGGGAACCCAGGGGGAGCTTGAGTGGGTTTGCTTTGATGGGGCTCCCCCTACCAGTCGTTGACCCTTACTGGACTCCCTAAATGACAGGCAGAAGTCAGATATAGTTGGGTCAATTCCAATGCCTAAGCCAATACCGCTCACATTCTGTAACCAATAAAGTTGTGGCCTAAATTTGCCCAATAACATTAACCTAATATCTGTGTCCTTGTGTCTTATTCATCAACAAGGGGGTGGTCTCGGGGTCTCGACACGCAACTGGCCTTCAAGGAGGCACTGATAGTTGGGGTTGGCAGCCATTTTGATAGAGTTAAGTGTTGTTTCCAAGGTGAAGAAAATATTGATTGAGGCCCATAGGATTTATCCAATAGTAAACATTAAGAGACAAAAGCTTAATGTTTGTGAGGTAGGATGGAATGTAGCCATTTTCAAAAAGCTGGGTGTGGTGTTTGTTTCAGGACTCCCACAACTTTCAAAGAGAGTCCCATGACTTGAATCTCAGGAAATATTTCATAAACAAACCTGACGGTGGCATGCAAATAACAAGTGAGACGCAATGCCAAGGTTTATAAAAGAGCTGTCAGCCACATCTCAATGACCTGGCTTTGTTTGTGTACTCATGCCACAACTCCCTGGCTTAGTTCCACAAAGAGAGGTTTTATGAGAGTGCATCAAAGGCACTGATCAGCATCAGGGGAGTATATCAGAACAGGTTATGTGTGGCCTGCATTGGTGTAATTCTTTATGGCATATGAGAGAACCAGTTTAAATGCAGTGGCTGTTAATCTTTAAGCTTCATTCACACCAGTGGTAGTAAATCCACATGATGCCTTGGAATTCTTTATGAAATGAGTTAAGTTCTCAATATTCTGGAAAAGCCACCGGGCGGGATTCACCCAACAAGCCCTGTCAGTGGAATCCCTGCGCAAGGACTTCTGCTTGCCTGGTGGGGATTTACTCCATCTTTCTCCCCGCCCCCATGGACCCTGCACCCACATACCCCAAAATTGTTCCAGAGGGGTGTGAACAACTCCAGGACTGTACAGGGGTAGGGCAGCAGACCTGGCAAACTGGGATGCTTGTGCAGATGGAACAAGCGGAAGCGTGCTTCCTTGAATTCCACCCGCTGGGTTTCATTGAAAGAGACCCACATCTATTTAAAAGTGCTGCAAATGACTACCATTCACCCACATGCTAATATGTAGATAGCCATTTGTAGGGGACACAGTAGCCATCCTCTTTCCCAGGAGGGAATGCTTCCTAAGATGGTGCCTCCTGCCTTACATGTGGAAGAACAAAATGCAGTTTTTCTTTACAGCTATTGCCATTCATATATACATTTCTGCAGACGGAATCGACGGACCAATTGATTAACGTGTTGATATACGCACTACTAACCAACATTTCTTCAGTTGGGCATCAACCCCATTCAGCCCCTTTGCGCACACAGAATACAAGTCTGTGTTGGTTCCTAAGAGATTGGGAGAGATTGCTCCTGGATAATGTATTGGCATTCTTTGTTTTGTTCTCATATTTTTATTGTAATTCTTGACATTTTAGAAACTGGGAGGTCCAAACAAGCACATATTAGGCAAGCTTTGTACTGCTAAAGCAGCATCCTAAACATGCTGGGCAGGGACACCTGGCTCTGCTATCTACCAGGGTAACTCAATATCTGGTCATTTATGTTCAGGGCAGTTAAACTTGGAAATGTTTTGGCTTTCCTGCCTTGCTGGCAGGACAGTTGATGGGTGCAGGCCCATCTCCTCTAATACTACAGAACACACACTCCGCATGCGAAAGAACTACGTTAAGTCTCTGGCCTCTCCCAGGGTAGGAAGATGTTTTTCTGAAATTCAGAAGTCACAGTAGGCAATACCGGGCTCGATGAACAAATAATCTGGTACATGGCAGCTTCCTATATTCCCTTGCATAGCTGTTCTGCAACAGGAGCAAAATGCAAAACTGTGTAGATGGGTTGTATTGATGGGAAGCAGCTCTATGCTTTCCCTAGTGCCCTCCTCACTCTGTATCAGAGATGCAAACACAAATCCCAGATGTAGGGAGCTGCTGCACTGTTTCAACATCCCATACCCTTTAAAAATGTGGCTCTTTTGGGAGGGGAGGGTATTATTGTATTATTTTATATATATACTGTGATCTTTTTATGTGAACCGCCCTGAGACCTTTGGGTATAGGGTGATATATAAATTCAAATAATAATGATAATGATAATAATATACACACACTGCAGTAGCAACATTAGTAAGAGCCTGCCAAAGGCTCATCGTGGCCAACCAGATGTCTTTGGGTTTGGGAAGATCAAAGTCAGGACCCGGGTACAATAGTCTCCTCACTTGTGCTCCCCAGCAACTGGCATGCTACAGTGATGCCAAAAGGGCAGTGCTGCCTACACTGCTCCCCTTTTGGTCCACAGTGTTTGTTTGCATTCACTGAATTTATATCCCGCCCTTCCTCCCAAAGGAGCCCAGGACAGAAACTGCAGATCTCACTATTGCCAGGAACTGCTACAGATCTAAACAGTGTCTGCCCATCTTCCTGTTTGGAAGGTAGAACTCTCCGAGAGGAAAAAGTACCTGCATTTCCCAGGCATGCGTGTCCCATGTCTCCAGCTGCATTCACTGGGCAAAACTGAGAGCACATTAAAGAGCCTTGAGGGGGTTACCCAAAGTAATATTTTAGTATTACTGTTGATAGGCGTTTTTAGTAAAGCCTTGCTCTTTGCTCTTTGTTCCTTTACCATTTCATAGTGGAATGTCTGCAGATGAGAATCAGTAATGCCAAGGCTCCCCCTGATGGCCATACTGTTAACATCTCCTTGTATACATTGTAGGAATGATGCAACAGAACCACTGGTTGTTTTCTTTTAATATAAAAAATAAGTAAATCATATGTGGCTTAATATTGGAATGCAAGAGAACCTAGCATTTTAAATTCACACATCAAACTTGTCACAGTAGAACAATGAGTCATTATCTGACTATCAGTCACTATTAATACATATAATAATTAAAATGCTTGACTGGTTTCTGGTGCAATCCTTTGCCTACCTGCTCAGAGGTACACGCCGCGGAGCAGAACAATTGTACAATTGCAGCCTTAGGCATAGTATGGCACTGTTAAGATCCGGTAGTTTGTTCATTCTACTTACATCCCCATGACCAGCAGGGGTCACATTTATCACCCATCCACTAAGGTAAACAGGGCTGTGACCCAACAACCTCCATTGGCCCTCTTTCAGCCTCCACCTCCCTGCCTTCTTACTTATATCCACGTAGGGGCTGGTGGACCTGACTGCTGGCTTCTTCTTCCTTAGGCTCACTTTTGCCCTTGTAGAACACAGTAGGGAGAAAGATGGGGACAAAACTAAAAGTGGTTCCACCCACTGTCAGATTCTCTGCCTTCAGCCCCACAAGTCCCAGCCACTACTGCCTGCGACTTGAATTAAGTTAACTTTATTCCTCTTTTATAGATGGGGAAATAAAAATGGACAGAGAACAGCTTTTCCCCAAGGCTACCCAGACAGGATGAAGCTAAAGATGGGGTTTTAATTCAGGTGTCCCAGATACCTACCTTATCTCTGCTGGTTTTTGTTCTCTTCCTGGCTTCCTCTGACTCATTTTTATTCTGTATCCTTCATGTAGCCCAATATTGCCAGAACATTCCTGTATATTCTTGATTACTCAGCTGCATGTTGTACTATGCTGCTCTGATACGTAAAACCTTACTATGATAATATTTTAAATTCCACTTGTGGAACGCACAAACATTGTTATTCACAACATATGACACTGAAATCACCTGTTTTTTAAATTGAGCATGTGATTGTAATTTGTGACTGCCATCCATTGTTTCTGTTTGTTCAGTACCTTGCAATATAGTTACTCAGAGCACTGGATTGGAAAACTCTCTGTCAGAATCCACACCCTTTCCCTTGTCCCCCCCCCCCCCCGGATGGATGCTCTCCCCATCATCAAGGTCTGCAAGGAAAGAATACACATCCATCAAAGTCCTGTAGTGACATAGAAAATATAAATCACAGCCTAGGAAACTGCAGCAATGTTCTGTATTCTGGTCCTATTCTTAAACAAAATACTGAATAGAATGAATGTATTTTGCCTATAATCTGAAGAGAGAATAGCAACTATTTCCCAAGCAAGAAATAGTTAATATTTAGTTGTTTCCCTGTTTTAGCTATATCAGTGGTACCTCGGGTTACATACGCTTCAGGTTACAGACTCCCCTAACCCAGAAATAGTACCTCGGGTTAAGAACTTTGCTTCAGGATGAGAACAGAAATCGTGCGGCAGCAGCGGGAGGCCCCATTAACTAAAGTGGTGCTTCAGGTTAAGAACAGTTTCAGGTTGAGAACAGACCTCCGGAACGAATTAAGTTATTTAACCCGAGGTTCCACTGTACAGTATAGTGCCATATGTTTTGGTGCCCCCTTGTGGAAAAATCATGCTATATTTACACATAGTTCATTCCTTGGGAGGATGCTTTGGGCCTGCTAACCACCGGTTTGGAGCAGCAGTCAGTTTCAAGCTGAGGTTCAGTCAAGTATCATGATCAGATGGGAGTTTCTAAAAAGCAATTGTGCCCCCCAGATCAAGTAAAACAATACAATGGTACCTCGGGTTACATACGCTTCAGGTTACAGGCGCTTCAGGTTACAGACTCTGCTAACCCAGAAATAGTACCTCAGGTTAAGAACTTTGCTTCAGGATGAGAACAGAAATCACGTGGTGACGGTGCAGCAGCAGCGGGAGGCCCCATTAGCTAAAGTGGTGCTTCAGGTTAAGAACAGTTTCAGGTTAGGAACGGACCTCTGGAACAAATTAAGTACTTAACCTGAGGTACCACTGTAGAATACTTAACTAACTGACCAATCACTTCGGTTCTGCTCCCCCAACAAAAGTCCTGCCCCCCGCCTAATTAAAAAAACCTGGCTATGCCCATGATAGAGTGATATCCACAAGGAAGCCCAGCTGTCCTACTTTGTTTTATTTCAGGAATATTTATTTATTTACTAACTACATTTCATCGAATC